ACTAGCGGTGCCACTGCTGGCATACCTCGAGGCACAGGAAAGTCTACGTCTGGAATCAGGCCAGATACATTGTGAGGAATGGATAGGATGGACATCCCGCTGTTTACTAATGGTAAGATGATTAAGACTTAAATGATTATGTTGAGGAAGTTTAAATACATGATCTCTGTCGACATTGGTTGAGATGATTTTTGTCGGTGATTGCCGTCTTTTCTTTGAACAACCATTTATACTACCAAAAGCTCTTGCCTGTTGTTGAAGGCAGTCTGTGGTCTATGGTTGGCGCCATGGTTGCCACATCACTGGCGTTAGCAGCTCCAGCGACCACAAGAAGTGCGTCAGCGGAGGCAGAAAATGAGGTGGTGGTGGTGGTGAGGGTTGGTTGCTGGGAAAAGAGGAAAAGGGGGGGGGGGGGGAGGCAGTGCGCTGCAGCGGCGACTGGGGCCCTCCTCGGCGGTAAGCCCTAACGGATCAGCCTGATCACACTGCGGCCCCCGCCATAGAGGTCCGCACCCCAGTGTCCCTCACCCCGTGCCCCTCGCAGGTGGCAGCGGACCACCCCTCGCCTCGCGCCCCGCGCCCCACCCCTTCCCAAATCACAGCGCGGCGGGCTGGGCGAGCCCCTCCCCGCCGCCGCCTCCTCCGTCTTGCTGCTAAGGCATGCCGTGCACGTCACAGGTAAGTTGGCCACCCTTCTCTCCACTCCTAGTCTGCCCGGCCGGCCCCCAAGACCTCCCAGGACCGCCGCCTCTCACACACACACTCACACACACAGGCTCACTCACAGACACACACACACGCGCGACCCGACCCGATCTTGTTTATTCAGTCCATTACTTTGAAATCAATTCCCAGTTGCTCCTCCCGAGGCGCGGCGGCGCCGGGTCGGACCGGGACGGAGGGGCCTAGAAGGGCAGGAGGAGGGGAAGCGAGGAGGGGGGCTGGACCCGGGACCTGACCGGCCTGCCGGGCCGAGTGAGTTTACCGCCGAGGCCACCCCTGGGAGGAAGGGTCACCATCGCACCACCACCGTCACAGGGGGCGCGCGGGCGTCGGCGGCGGCCCACGTCGTCACAGCCCCTAGCGCCTGGTGACAGGTGTTCGTCACACGCCCGTCACCGGCTTTCAACGGCAGTGTGGGTGTTGGCAACGCAAAGTTTTCACAGCAGTGTGTGTGTGGTGAGAGACGGGCCGACCGGCAACCCGCCCCCCGTTCTCTGGTAAAATCTCAACTCGTCGGATTTGAGGGGGGCGGGGGGAGCGGGTGCACCCGGGCGGTGGGGAGGAGGCTGGCCGGGGTGGTGGGTCTGCGGCCTCCGCCTCCCCCTTGAGACGTGACCGGGCCCGGGCCAGCATTGGATTAGCTGCTGTTCGTTAGCGCCCACCCGAGACCGGCCGCGCCCCAAACCAACACCATCAGCCTGTCAGCCACCCTCAAGTGTGCGCCAGGGCCCGACACTCCTCCTGCTCGGGGTGTAACAGAATGCCGCCCGCCGAACAGTTCAAATGGATCGGGTGCGCGCGCGCCGAGAGGTGGACCACTTGGATATTCCATGTATACACACTGCGAAATATTCCAAAACTATTCCAGATATTCCAAAAATATTGTAAAAATATTCCAAAAGTATTCTAGGTGTTCCACTAAAAATTTCATGTCATTCCACCAAAATTTTTAAATATTTCAAGAATATTCCAAATATTCCAAAAAATATTTCAGATATTAAAAAAATATTCCAGATATTCCATGTACACAAAAAATTCGAGTACCGGTAGTTGATCCCTCGGCTCGTGTGCATTTCCACTAGTTTCGGTTGGGGAAAGAAGCAAATAGTATCCACAACAAAGCGTACGTGCCGCGCAAAAGAGTATTAAGTACTGATGAATTTCAATCAGTGTTGTACGTCATGGGCAATCTAGTTTACGCGGTAATGTGTATGTATGAGTTTTGACTTTGTTTGTTCCGACGCGGCGGCTTATGGTGCCACCCGGCTGACGTCCGTCCGTGTGCCCGCGTCCGTCATTCCGTAATACGAGTCAGTCCGTGCGGTCGCGATTTCCTCGTGCAACTCGATGACTACAACATTCTGTCCATTCGACGGCGCGCGGGGCACTGGGGTCGAGCCCGCGGCGGCCCGCGGCGGCCTTGCCCGTGCCCGTGTCGCCCTCGCGATGAGCTGCCGGCGCCCGCGCCCGGGTCGGGTCAAGAGCAGGAGGTCGGGCGCAAGTAGTGAAAGGCGGCCCTATAGCGCTGAGCCGAGTGTGGCCCCGACCGCACGGACTGACTGTACCCCCTGCACCCGCGTGCAAGTGCACCGGAAACTCAAGTGTGTGAACGCCACAGAGGCATACAAAGTGTGCAAAGAGGGTATTTCAATGGAGCTCGAAAAGGAAGTGAGAAGAACAAAACCGGATCCAGAGAGCTGTGGTGGGGGTGGGGGAGTGGGGAGCGACCCCGCTCACGCTCACCCGTCGCTCCTCCCCGCGCCCCATGCCAACTTCTGCTCTACGGATCTCGTTGCGTTTTTTTTACTGCCCTCTTCGCGCTCCATTGAAATACCATATTTCAAAGAAAAAGTTCACACCTTTATTCATTTGAGCCCGTGAGTGTACGAGTAAGCATTTCACACACCTACAAGTGCGCGACAGTCACACACTTATTAGCGTTACAGTGTGGTGGATGCACTTGCCCGCTTGAGGTGCATCAGAAACCAAAGCGCCGCACTAACCCCATAGCTTCCAGAAGAGAAAGGGGCAATTCGAGACAGAGGTGTCCGTCAGTGACGGCATTTGTGAGCGACTGAGAGGTGCTACGTATTGTTGCAATTCGTCCCTAGAAGCGTCTTGCAAGGACGCGTCTAGTCATGTGCTTCAACAACCCGTAGCACTTCTCAGTCGCTCGCAAATGCCGTCACGGACGGACATTTTTTTTTTTACATCTTTTTCTGGAATTGCCTAAAGAGTGTGTCGAATAAGGAGGCCGCGCTTTGCGGCCGCAAGAACAGAAACCGATTCAGACCGACCCACACCGGCGGCAGCGCAGACCGAGCCGAACCCGGACGAGGATTGGGACACAACCCAAGTTTCCCTGGCAGGTATGCCCCCGCCATCGTGGCGACCTTTTAATTAAAGACTTTGCGGGGCGTGTGTGTTGCGCGCGCGTCCGTGTGGCAAGTGGGGTGGAAGGAAAGTCGAGGTGTGGTGCGGTGCAGGGGAGGCGATCTCGTGCAAGTTATTTGCGCTGCACGGGGGGAAAAGATTAGCTACAGCCTATAACCAATAAGCTAAATTTGGGATAAATACTTTTTTGGCTGGGTTTTGTTAAAAAATTATCTGGGTTTAGGTGCGTAGCTATTGTCTAAGGTCCACATTTTTCGCTACACAGCAAAATAATTAGTTATCCCGTAATGTAGTGGTTGGTACAGCGAATCTTGCCCATAGCGAGTAGCTCGCGGGTCAATCGCGACGGTCACAACATACCATCGATATCCAAACGCGCGTTTCTTTACGATGAAAGTTGTTGCCTATGGATTTGCTTCCCGCTCATAACTTTCCTTTTTTTCACGCGAGTATGCCGCTGCCGTTTGCTCAGAGCCGCAACGTTTGATATGACGGATTCGAACACGCAGGTTTTCTCCGCGTCCTCTTTTCTTTTTCTTCGTCTTTTTTTGCCCTTGCCGGTCTGGAACACACCGAATTGCTTGGGCGCGGACCCAGCAGTAATTTTGCCGAGAAATATTTCTAACTGGCAAAACGCTTGGGAGGCAGACTAGGCGCCGCGTCGGGAGCAACTGGAACGGGGGGGAATCGTTTGTAGAGGGAGGGAGGGGAGGGGAAGGGCAAGGGGCAAGGAGAGGAGGTAAGGTTTCGGGCGTGCGAAGAAAAATTGTCGCGAAAACGTGTCGCGCATGAAGAGGGAGAGAAATCAAAGCCTTGGGGCCCCCGATGGCGTGGGTAGGGGGCA